TGCATGAAGTGAGGGGAAATCCCTCCTCAAAGGGGTCACAGACAAAAATATTTGATGTAAAGTAAAAAATATTAGCCCATTTCCTAAATCCAAAATTTAAAACAAAAATGGATAGGAATTAGGTTTTATAAAGGCTGAAGTCTTCAACCTTTGGGAACATGGTACATTTCTCCTCCCATTTTAAAGGGTGGAAAATGTATACACCCATGTTCCCCAACTGCTGCAGCCATTTTCCCAAAACTACCGCAGCCTCTAAGTGACAGTGTGCACCACTGGGAATCTCTACTCCGCCTATTCACAACTCATTCAGTTCTCTGGAATGTGTTATGAGTGAAAAGCTTACAACTAACCTTTGAGGCTGTAAGTTTTTCACTGAAGTGCCTATGAAGCGCTTGGTAGTCAATCATTGTTTATGGTTCGCTGTCATATTGTGACCCTAGCCGTACGCCCGATATGAGGAACACGCAGAAAAGGAGCAGTCTCACACCTGACAAGTCTGCAGGAGATTTGCATTAAGGGGCACCTGTGATCTGCTGGTATTGTGGGCCTGCAATGCTTTTACAGGCTCCTCAATTAAAAAATGTGATATATACTGAATATATATATATATAAAGAACTATATAATACTATATATATACTCTATATATATATTTTATATATATTCACTTTTTTTTACCCACATAAAATATGTGCAATTTATTTTTTTTTTAAGGGGAAACATATCCTCTAAAAGCACCTTTGGTGCAGTTTATCACTTCTATTGTATACTCCCCCTGGCCCCCAGTCCCAGACCTGCAAGTATTATACTTTATCTGTAAATTACCGGGGGGGGGGGGGGGTGGGGGGGGGGGGGGGGGGGGGGGTGGGGGGGGGGGGGGGGGGGGGGGAGGGGGGGGGGGGGGCGGGGGGGGGGGGGGTGCACCCGCTCCCATATCAACCATGTTTAAGCGAGGTATATGAGTTTATATTTTCACAGTGGGCTCTCAAAGGACCAGTGTCCCGCAGGTTTTTAGGATATTATGACCACAATTTGAGATGCTTATTTTGATATAGGTTGATGTCCATTCTACTTTGCTTCAGCCAGGTTTTGTAACTCCTACGGACTCACCATTCCCTCCTTCCAAATCCCAGCCCAAGGAATTGATGGGTCCATGCAAAAACCCACTTGAACACAAGAAAGCTGATCGTAGACAGGCCCTGTATCGGATTTGACACAGCATTTTGCGCAGATGCCCCTTTGGATCTGAACACAGTGGTTTGATGTCAACCAGACTTAAAGGGACTCTGTCGCACACAGGTCTCCTAAAAACTAACTCTAACCTGTAAAAGAATAGCATTAAGAGATGAGCGAAAGATGAGTGCCGTCGATCTTAGAATCACCGCACACTTCACTCATTTGGCCAGTCACGGGCCAAAACCAGTGTTTGGAGCCACAGTGTGGGCGGTGGAGGCAGCAGCAATGGGAGGCCATACAAGCAACCTATGACAAAATGGAAACCAGCAGGAGTGTGAGGAGACCTGAAAGTGGCACATGGCAGAGGGGAGCAATGGGAGGCGGTACAGGGACCCAGGTCACACTGTGGGCCCAGCAGCAGCGTGACCAGGCGGTACGGGGGCCCATGGCAGATTTGGGGCCTGGCAGCACCTATGGAGGGGCCTGGCAGCAGCTATGGGAGGCCCGTAATCTGCCAGCACCCTATGTCAAAAAATTTAACACACACCAGCAGTGTGAGGAGACCTGAAAAGTGGCACATGGCAGAGTGTGGCGATGGACAGCAGCAATGGGAGGCCGTACAGGGACCCATGAGAGACACTGTGGACTGGCAGCAGCATGAGGAGGCGGTATAGGGGCCCATGGCAGATTAGGGGCCTGGCAGCAGCTATGGAAGGCCCGTAATCTGCCAGCAACCCTATGACAAAAAATGGACACACCAGGAGTGTGAGGAGATTTCAAAGTGGCACATGGCAGAGTGTGGCGATGGGACAGCAATGGGAGGCCGTACAGGGACCCAGAGAGACTGTGGGGCCTGGCAGCAGCATGAGGACCGGCGGTACGGGGGCCCATGGCCAGATTTGGGGCCTGGCAGCAGCTATGGGAGGCCGTAATCTGCCAGCACCCTATGACAAAAAAATGGAAACCTGCAGCTGTGGGAGGCAGACCCGAAAGTGGCACTTGGCAGAGGTTTCCCAGCCAACAGAATGGCGACGCTGCATATGCTGACGCAACGTTGAGTCCCAACATGGGCCCCCTGGCCACGCTTGACCTGGCCACATATGATAGGCTACTCTTCCTCGGGCGGCTTGACGAAAAAATTGCAGCACACCGCAGAGGAGGGTAACGGTGGCTCCCATGGCAGATCAACTGGGGACCTGGCAGCAGCTATCCGTGCACACCGGCACCACTACTGGCCAGTGGTGGTAGGTCTGCAAGCTGGTGCTCTACACCAGTGGTGTTTGGAGACCTGAAAGTGACACTGCTGGACCCTGCAGAGCCTCCTGGCGATGGAGACAGCAGCAATGGGGCCGTACAGGGACCCATGAGAGACTCTGGACTTGGCAGCAGCGGCCCATGGCAGATTAGGGGCCTGGCAGCAGCTATAGGAGGCCCGTAATCTGCCAGCACCCTATGTCAAAAAATTCAACACACCAGCAGTGTGTGAGGAGACCTGAAAGTGGCACATGGCAGAGTGTGGCGATGGAGACAGCAGCAATGGGAGGCCGTACAGGGACCCATGAGAGACTCTGGACCTGGCAGCAGCATGAGGAGGCGGTATATAGGGGCCCATGGCAGATTAGGGGCCTGGCAGCAGCTATGGGAGGCCCGTAATCTGCCAGCACCCTATGTCAAAAAATTCAACACACCAGCAGTGTGTGAGGAGACCTGAAAGTGGCACATGGCAGAGTGTGGCGATGGAGACAGCAGCAATGGGAGGCCGTACAGGGACCCATGAGAGACTCTGGACTTGGCAGCAGCATGAGGAGGCGGTATATAGGGGCCCATGGCAGATTAGGGGCCTGGCAGCAGCTATGGGAGGCCCGTAATCTGCAGCACCCTATGTCAAAAAATTGAAAACACCAGCAGTGTGAGGAGACCTGAAAGTGGCACATGGCAGAGTGTGGCGATGGAGACAGCAGCAATGGGAGGCCGTACAGGGACCCATGAGAGACTCTGGACCTGGCAGCAGCATGAGGAGGCGGTATAGGGGCCCATGGCAGATTAGGGGCCTGGCAGCAGCTATAGGAGGCCCGTAATCTGCCAGCACCCTATGTCAAAAAATTCAACACACCAGCAGTGTGTGAGGAGACCTGAAAGTGGCACATGGCAGAGTGTGGCGATGGAGACAGCAGCAATGGGAGGCCGTACAGGGACCCATGAGAGACTCTGGACCTGGCAGCAGCATGAGGAGGCGGTATATAGGGGCCCATGGCAGATTAGGGGCCTGGCAGCAGCTATAGGAGGCCCGTAATCTGCCAGCACCCTATGTCAAAAAATTCAACACACCAGCAGTGTGTGAGGAGACCTGAAAGTGGCACATGGAGTGTGGCGATGGAGACAGCAGCAATGGGAGGCCGTACAGGGACCCATGAGAGACTCTGGACCTGGCAGCAGCATGAGGAGGCGGTATATAGGGGCCCATGGCAGATTAGGGGCCTGGCAGCAGCTATGGGAGGCCCGTAATCTGCCAGCACCCTATGTCAAAAAATTCAACACACACAGCAGTGTGTGAGGAGACCTGAAAGTGGCACATGGCAGAGTGTGGCGATGGAGACAGCAGCAATGGGAGGCCGTACAGGGACCCATGAGAGACTCTGGACCTGGCAGCAGCATGAGGAGGCGGTATATAGGGGCCCATGGCAGATTAGGGGCCTGGCAGCAGCTATGGGAGGCCCGTAATCTGCCAGCACCCTATGTCAAAAAATTGAACACAGCAGTGTGTGAGGAGACCTGAAAGTGGCACATGGCAGAGTGTGGCGATGGAGACAGCAGCAATGGGAGGCCGTACGTAGGGACCCATGAGAGACTCTGGACTTGGCAGCAGCATGAGGAGGCGGTATATAGGGGCCCATGGCAGATTAGGGGCCTGGCAGCAGCTATGGGAGGCCCGTAATCTGCCAGCACCCTATGTCAAAAAATTCAACACACCAGCAGTGTGTGAGGAGACCTGAAAGTGGCACATGGCAGAGTGTGGCGATGGAGACAGCAGCAATGGGAGGCCGTACAGGGACCCATGAGAGACTCTGGACCTGACCTGGCAGCAGCAGCATGAGGAGGCGGTATATAGGGGCCCATGGCAGATTAGGGGCCTGGCAGCAGCTATAGGAGGCCCGTAATCTGCCAGCACCCTATGTCAAAAAATTCTACACACCAGCAGTGTGTGAGGAGACCTGAAAAGTGGCACATGGCAGAGTGTGGCGATGGAGACAGCAGCAATGGGAGGCCGTACAGGGACCCATGAGAGACTCTGGACTTGGCAGCAGCATGAGGAGGCGGTATATAGGGGCCCATGGCAGATTAGGGGCCTGCAGCAGCAGCTATGGGAGGCCCGTAATCTGCCTGCCAGCACCCTATGTCAAAAAATTCAACACACCAGCAGTGTGTGAGGAGACCTGAAAGTGGCACATGGCAGGCAGAGTGTGGCGATGGAGACAGCAGCAATGGGAGGCCGTACAGGGACCCATGAGAGACTCTGGACCTGGCAGCAGCATGAGGAGGCGGTATATAGGGGCCCATGGCAGATTAGGGGCCTGGCAGCAGCTATGGGAGGCCCGTAATCTGCCAGCACCCTATGTCAAAAAAAACACACACCAGTGTGTGAGGAGACCTGAAAGTGGCACATGGCAGAGTGTGGCGATGGAGACAGCAGCAATGGGAGGCCGTACAGGGACCCATGAGAGACTCTGGACCTGGCAGCAGCATGAGGAGGCGGTATATAGGGGCCCATGGCAGATTAGGGGCCTGGCAGCAGCTATGGGAGGCCCGTAATCTGCCAGCACCCTATGTCAAAAAAAACAACACACCAGCAGTGTGAGAGGAGACCTGAAAGTGGCACATGGCAGAGTGTGGCGATGGAGACAGCAGCAATGGGAGGCCGTACAGGGACCCATGAGAGACTCTGGACCTGGCAGCAGCATGAGGAGGCGGTATATAGGGGCCCATGGCAGATTAGGGCCTGGGGGCCTGGCAGCAGCTATGGGAGGCCCGTAATCTGCCAGCACACCTATGTCAAAAAATTCAACACACCAGCAGTGTGAGGAGACCTGAAAGTGGCACATGGCAGAGTGTGGCGATGGAGACCAATGGGAGGCCGTACAGGGACCCATGAGCACCTGGCAGCAGCATGAGGAGGCGTATATAGGGGCCCATGGAGATTAGGGGCCTGGCAGCAGCAATGGGAGGCCCGTAACAGGACCCTATGTCAAAAAATGACAGACTCTGGACCTGGCAGCAGTGTGTGAGGAGACCGGTATATAGGGGCCCATGGCAGATTAGGGGCCTGGCAGCAGCTATGGGAGGCCCGTAATCTGCCAGCACCCTGTCAAAAAATTCAACACACCAGCATGTGAGGAGACCTAAAGTGGACACATGGCATGAGAGACTCTGGACCTGGCAGCAGCATGAGGAGGCGGTATAGGGGCCCATGGCAGATTAGGGGCCTGGCAGCAGCTATGGGAGGCCCGTAATCTGCCAGCACCCTATGTCAAAAAATTCAACACACCAGCAGTGTGTGAGGAGACCTGAAAGTGGCACATGGCAGAGTGTGGCGATGGAGACAGCAGCAATGGGAGGCCGTACAGGGACCCATGACAGACTCTGGACCTGGCAGCAGCATGAGGAGGAGCGGTATATAGGGGCCCATGGCAGATTAGGGGCCTGGCAGCAGCTATGGGAGGCCCGTAATCTGCCAGCACCCTATGTCAAAAAATTCAACACACCAGCAGTGTGAGGAGACCTGAAAGTGGCACATGGCAGATGGCGAGAGACAGCAGCAATGGGACCTGGCAGCAGCATGCAGCATGGAGGCGGTATAGGGGCCCATGGCAGATTAGGGGCCTGGCAGCAGCTATGGGAGGCCCGTAATCTGCCAGCACCCTATGTCAAAAAATTCAACACACCAGCAGTGTGTGAGGAGACCTGAAAGTGGCACATGGCAGAGTGTGGCGATGGAGAGACAGCAGCAATGGGAGGCCGTACAGGGACCCATGACAGACTCTGGACCTTGGCAGCAGCATGAGGAGGCGGTATATAGGGGCCCATGGCAGATTAGGGGCCTGGCAGCAGCTATGGGAGGCCCGTAATCTGCCAGCACCCTATGTCAAAAAATTCAACACACCAGCAGTGTGAGGAGACCTGAAAGTGGCACATGGCATGAGAGACTGTGGACCTGGCAGCAGCATGATGAGGCGGTATAGGGGCCCATGGCAGATTAGGGGCCTGGCAGCAGCTATGGGAGGCCCGTAATCTGCCAGCACCCTATGTCAAAAAATTCAACACACCAGCAGTGTGTGAGGAGAGACCTGAAAGTGGCACATGGCAGAGTGTGGCGATGGAGACAACCCACCGACTGTTTTGCTCGCTGCCAAGCTGCCACCCTCTTCTCCTGATGATGCGGAAGCAATAGCCTGATGACGACGAGGCTGCCAAGTGCGATCAGCCTCATCATCATCAATTAGGGTCTCCGCTCACTACTAGCCCCCTCGGCTGCGTGTGGGTCAGGAGACAGACCTGTCTCTACACCGGCTACCGAGCCACTCTCCTCGCCACTACTTCTTCGCCTGGCTGCTGAAGAGGCGGATGTCTCCCCCCGTTCCTGACCGCCCTCTGTTAGCTCTTCCTCACTGTACTGATGACACACCGGGAGCACTAGCCTCTGGCTGCGAATAGTGCTGCCTCGACCCCTTCCTCTGCTGCCACGTCTGCTCGCTCTCCTAAAACATTGCCTCCTCTGCCACTCCTCTGCATGTTGTCTGACATACTCTTTAATTAAACGATTCTGTGTCCCTGAGTAACAATTCTGTGGCCCTAAGTAACGGTTCTGTGGCCCTCAGTAACAGTTCTGTGTCCCTGAGTAACAATTCTGTGCCCTGTGCGAGTAACAATTCTGTGGCCCTAAGTAACAGTTCTGTGGCCCTCAGTAACAATTCTGTGTCCCTAAGTAATTCTGGTTCTGTGGCCCTCAGTAACAATTCTGTGGCCCTCAGTAACAATTCTGTGTCCCTGTGTAACAATTCTGTGTCTGTGCGAGTAACAATTCTGTGGCCCTAAGTAACAGTTCTGTGGCCCTCAGTAACAGTTCTGTGTCCCTGAGTAACAATTTCTGTGTCTGTGCGAGTAACAATTCTGTGGCCCTAAGTAACATTCTGTGGCCCCTCAGTAACAATTCTGTGGCCCTAAGTAACAATTCTGTGGCCCTCAGTAACAATTCTGTGTCCCTGTGTAACAATTCTGTGTCTGTGCGAGTAACAATTCTGTGGCCCTAAGTAACAGTTCTGTGGCCCTCAGTAACAATTCTGTGTCCCTGAGTAACAATTCTGTGTCTGTCCCTGAGTAACAATTCTGTGGCCCTAAGTAACAGTTCTGTGGCCCTCAGTAACAATTCTGTGTCCCTGAGTAACAATTCTGTGCCCTGCGAGTAACAATTCTGTGGCCCGAGTAACAATTCTGTGGCCTAGTAACAGTTCTGTGTCCCTCAGTAACAATTCTGTGGCCTAAGTAACGGTTCTGTGGCCCTCTCAGTAACAATTCTGTGTCCCTGTAACAGTAACAATTCTGTGTCTGTGCGAGTAACAATTCTGTGGCCCTAAGTAACAGTTCTGTGGCCCTCAGTAACATTCTGTGTCCCTGAGTAACAATTCTGTGTCTGTGCGAGTAACAATTCTGTGGCCCTAAGTACAAGTGTCTGTTGCCCTCAGTAACAATTTCTGTGTCCCTGAGTAACAATTCTGTGGCCCTAAGTAACGGTTCTGTGGCCCTCAGTAACAATTCTGTGTCCCTGAGTAACAATTTCTGTGCCCTGTAACTGTGCCCGAGTAAACGAGTAACAATTCTGTGGCCCTAAGTAACAATTCTGTGGCCCTCAGTAACAGTTCTGTGTCCCTGAGTAACAATTCTGTGTCCTGTGCGAGTAACAATTCTGTGGCCCTAAGTAACAGTTCTGTGGCCCTCAGTAACAGTTCTGTGTCCCTGAGTAACAATTCTGTGTCTGTGCGAGTAACAATTCTGTGGCCCTAAGTAACAGTTCTGTGGCCCTCAGTAACAATTCTGTGTCCCTAGTAACAATTCTGTGGCCCTAAGTAACAATTCTGTGCCCTCAGTAAACAATTCTGTGTCCCTGAGTAACAATTCTGTGTCTGTGCGAGTAACAATTCTTGGCCCTAAGTGTGGCCCTCAGTAACAATTCTGTGTCCCTGAGTAACAATTCTGTGTCCCTGAGTAACAATTCTGTGGCCCTCAGTAACAATTCTGTGGCCCTCAGTAACAATTCTGTGTCCCTGCGAGTAACAATTCTGTGGCCCTAAGTAACGGTTCTGTGGCCCTCAGTAACAATTCTGTGTCCCTGAGTAACAATTCTGTGTCTGTGCGAGTAACAATTCTGTGGCCCTAAGTAACAGTTCTGTGGCCCTCAGTAACAGTTCTGTGTCCCTGAGTAACAATTCTGTGTCTGTGCGAGTAACAATTCTGTGGCCCTAAGTAACAGTTCTGTGGCCCTCAGTAACAATTCTGTGTCCCTGAGTAACAATTCTGTGGCCCTAAGTAACGGTTCTGTGGCCCTCAGTAACAATTCTGTGTCCCTGTGTAACAATTCTGTGTCTGTGCGAGTAACAATTCTGTGGCCCTAAGTAACGGTTCTGTGGCCCTCAGTAACAATTCTGTGTCCCTGAGTAACAATTCTGTGTCTGTGCGAGTAACAATTCTGTGGCCCTAAGTAACAGTTCTGTGGCCCTCAGTAACAATTCTGTCTGTCCCTGAGAGTAACAATTCTGTGGCCCTAAGTAAAGTTTCTGTGGCCCTAAGTAACAGTTCTGTGGCCCTCAGTAACAATTCTGTGTCTGTCCCTGAGTAACAATTCTGTGGCCCTAACTAAAGTTTCTGTGGCCCTAAGTAACAATTCTCTGGCACTCAGTAACAATTCTGTCTGTCCCTGAGTAACAATTCTGTGGCCCTAATAACGTTTCTGTGGCCCTAAGTAACAGTTCTGTGGCCCTCAGTAACAATTCTGTGTCTGTCCCTGAGTAACAATTCTGTGGCCCTAACTAAAGTTTCTGTGGCCCTAAGTAACAATTCTCTGGCACTCAGTAACAATTCTGTCTGTCCCTGAGTAACAATTCTGTGGCCCTAATAACGTTTCTGTGGCCCTAAGTAACAATTCTCTGGCACTCAGTAACAATTCTGTCTGTCCCTGAGTAAGAATTCTGTGGCCCTAACTAGCGTTTCTTTGTCCCTAAGTAACGATTCTGTGGCCCTCATTAACAATTCTGTGTCCCTGAGTAATGGTTCTCTGTCCCTAAGTAACGTTTCTCTGTCCCCAAGTATCGTTTCTGTGGCCCTAACTCTGTCCCTAATACAGAGCGGTCTGCCTCTGTTCAATGACTGCAGGCAAATGAAGAATTCCAAAATGGCCGCTATTTATAGCTCGACCATTACACAGTGCGCCTTCCCAGACATCCCCGCTCCGTCGCCGCACATGTCCGCCGCCATTTTCGGAAAAATTTCGATTCGCGCGTCCGAAGTAGGCTATTTTTTTTCGGATTCGGCGCGAATCACATTAAATGTATTTCCTCAAAGGTAAACTTTATGCTTATGGACTCTACATGCCGGTAATTTTTCTTTAATAATTCCCTTAAATCTGTTATGCAATCTCAACATTTTACCTCCATAATTATGTTTTATGGTTTGAACCTTTTTTTTATATAAATGTGCATTAGCTACATTTAAGTAACTAAGGTAATTAACTTGAAGGATACAGCTATTAGACTGATATAGATCCTGCTAATGGCAACATTTGTACAAGAGCACATAAAAGAACAGAATCATGGAAATGACCAGGCTAGGATCCTACTTTACCCATGTAACATATAACCCAGACCTTCTAGTCTAATTAGACTATTGTTAACCATTACTGTGTAAAAATGACTAGTTGCTGAGATGAAAAGAGCAGTGCCTCGTGTGATGTTAAATCCATAAGGTAAGATAGAAGACTTTTACACAGGACAATATCAAAATGAGAGAAAAATTGGAACAATTTTCCTGCTCAATTGAAGCAAGTACTATATACTAGAGCCTACGGGGAACTATCATGAAGAAAATACCTTATACAGTAAACAGAGAATAGTAATAAAAAATTTAACAATGCTATAAAGTATAATCTAAAGCCATTTTTTATAACATTTAGGATGGCTACTGTGGGAATGGGTCAAATCCCTGACAGAATTTTTTGGAACCTGTGGCCTAATTGGAAATAGATTTAAAACTTTATCAGTTTCTGTCTTTTTATATTATTTAACTATTATGTACCAGTGGAAAGAGGGTCCTTCCCTCTATACCTGACTTTGAGGGAGACATGGAAAAAAAAAACCCTCCTTTAACCACTTACCCCCTTTGGAAAAATTTACCCCCCCCCTTCCGACTAGGGATATTTTCCTATTTGTGTGGCTAAATTTAACTGATAATTGGGGCGGATCCAT